GTAGTAGTAGTAGTAGTAGTAGTAGTAGTAGTAGTAGTAGTAGTAGTAGTAGTAGTAGTAGTAGTAGTAGTAGTAGTAGTAGTCGTAGTAGTCGTAGTCGTAGTCGTAGTAGTAGTAGTAGTAGTAGTAGTAGTAGTAGTAGTAGTAGTAGTAGTAGTAGTAGTAGTAGTAGTAGTAGTAGTAGTAGTAGTAGTAGTAGTAGTAGTAGTAGTAGTAGTAGTAGTAGTAGTAGTAGTAGTAGTAGTAGTAGTAGTAGTAGTAGTAGTGTAGTAGTAGTAGTAGTAGTAGTAGTAGTAGTAGTAGTAGTAGTAGTAGTAGTAGTAGTAGTAGTAGTAGGTAGTAGTAGTAGTAGTAGTAGTAGTAGTAGTAGTAGTAGTAGTAGTAGTAGTAGTAGTAGTAGTAGTATTAGTAGTAGTAGTAGTAGTAGTAGCAGTAGTAGTAGTAGTAGTGGTAGTAGTAGTAGTAGTAATAGTAGTAGTAGTAGTAATGGCGCCAGAACCGCCGACGCCACGCCGTAAGTGAAGCAGCAGCAGAAGCAGGCAGCAAGTCGCGGAGACAGCAGCAAAAGCAAGCAGGCACGGATATGAGGGCGGGGCACTGGGGAGTTTTTTACATCTACATCTATATATACACCAACATCTACATCGACACCTACATCTACATCTAGACCTACATCTACATCTACACCTACAGCTACATCTACATCTACACCTGCATCTACATCTACATCTACATCAACACCTACATCCACATCTGCACCTACACCTACATCTACACCTACACCTGGGCTAGGATAGGCTAGGCTAGGCTCTGCTATGCTATGCTATGCTGCGCTATGCTATGCTGCGCTATGCTATGCTGCGCTATGCTATGCTATGCTATGTCATGCTTTTGCTTTGCCTTCGCTTTTGCCTTCACTTTTGCCTTTGCTTTTTCTTTTGCTTGGCACCCAGGGAGAGCAACTGGGGGAACCGCGCGTTTGCTTTTACCTTTGCTGTTGCTTTTGCTTGGCTCCCAAGGGACTGGGGGAACCGCCCGGGCCGGTTTGCACTGCCCAGCCCCTTTAAGCCAAGCGAGTAAGAACCCTTCTAGGCAGAGCCTAGGTAGGGACAGATATAGTTAAGTAGTGATCAATAATAATAAGAAAAAATAGAAAATCGTCCCCAAACTATTTTTTTTACTCATTCTTGTATACTCCTTCTGTAAAGGGCCATGCCCGACTTAACCCTGAGCAACCGGAGGGGCGACGAGTCGGCCGGCGCGCGGCATAACTGGGACCGCTCGGAGGGGGGATGCTCGCGCTTGGCCTGCGCACCAGATTTCGAGCGTAAACAATGATTTTGTCGGGGATCTTGAGCCCCTGGAGGCACAACCTCCCCTTGATTTTTACCCACAGTTTCCCCCGTCGTTCTACTCCTTTCGCTCTCCGTCGAAGCTTGGCTCGCTGCTGAGGGGCCGAAAGCGTAGACAACTGTGCACCAGACCTCCTTGGCCGCCTCGGGTCTTTTATGGGACCTCGTTTCGCTCATTTGAAAGCCCCCTTGGGCCGTGCTCGGGAAATCTCAAGCCGTCTGAATGATATTTCTGGCCATCTTCGACACACCCAGCGAGAACTGGAAAGGGCGGGCGGTGAACGCAAAACGTCTTGAATAGCCCCTGAGTGCAAACAATGTTTGGAAATGCGCGTACTTGACACAACGTGCTGTAAGAAGCCCCCGCACGATGGTGCTCGTCGAGCTTGTGTCAACACTGACATTGTTCAGGTCGATCACCAATAACTGTCTACAATTTCTCAGGGTCCCTTGCACTGTGAACTAAATCAAACAGCGCTGCGGCTTTATCTCATTTCACTGTAAAAAATACGTGTGGTGCCTTCACGAGCCTTTGCGGCAAAGGGGTTGGGAACTTATACCAGCACACTTCGAACATACGAGATACCTTGTAAGTGAACAGACTGCAACCATGCGCGCAAACGTATGAGACACGTCATGTTATCCTTGATGGCGCGAGATAAACATACTGGTTTACTACTTTACCGGTAGCCGTTGACGCACGCCCGAATTACAAAAACAAAGTGAGGTAACGCTTCTCCAATTGTCATGATAGCCTGGCTCGGCATACCGAGCTAGTCTGGCTTTGCAGACCTGGTTCACCAGATGTCCCGCAATGCCCTTCTGCCACACGCACCATGCACGCACACCATCGAGCAACTTTTTGCGGAGCCAACTCGTCAGGAAGAGCAACGTCCTATTCTTTCTCGAAGCGCTACCGCCGTACTGCTGCTTCATTTTATGAACCGCGTGCGGAAATCACCTGGGCTATGCAGAATCCCTTCCACGATGTGGCCGCACCGTGACGATTATATGCCCATGGTGAGAGCACGAAGAAGGCACGCAATCGCATCTGCTGCACGCGGTCAGTGCTTCGAATGAGTGCGGAATTGGTTGCCCATCGCATCGTGCTGGCTCTTTCAATTGCCCAGTTTGCTCTCTCTCTTTTTTTTTTTGTTTTTTTTTTTTTCGTCCGCTGAGCAACTGTCCTATCGATCGACAACGGCTCCTCAAACTCGTGCCGACGAGAGAAGACGGACGCATGATATGCCACATAATGCTAAACAAGAAATCAAGAATGACACGTCCAACCGCAACAAAACACAACGAAGCTGCAAGATGAACAACTTAACTACTTGCGCCCTAATGCAAATCATCCGCCAACGTGCCGCGAGGCCCGAGATCGGAGTGTCCTCAGGTCCAACAGCCCCCAATGCTGAATCTTATGAACGCTCTGCCAGGGGCCCAAGCCCAAGATACCTGATTTTTTTCTGATCTCCCGGGCGTTGTTGGGAATCGCCGCGTGACTTTTTCCCGAGGCCTCGGGCGCCTTGTTCGAGCTCAAACTTACAACATGTCCTGAGATGTCGCGAAGGGGGACGTTCTGGGGCCCTCTGGGGCCGTCTTGGAGGCCGACCCAAAAGGCCCAATCCACAGGACAGCATCTCTGGCTTGTTGCTACAATAACGGCTAAATTATGTTATTGTGAATTCTCTGCCTTTCGGTCGTAGTAGCGTTCAAGACGGCCCAAGAGGCCTCTAATACTCTAGTAAGAGGGCCTCCCGAGACCTCCAAGAAGGGCCTATGTAGCCCAATGAGGCCCTCAAGAGGGGGAGTTCGAAATGCAATCTGAGCCCTCCACCCCAAGATGGCACCTCAGAGTGTCAGCAGGACCCCGAGAAACCCCAAGAGGGCCGAAGATGCACCAGGGAGGCCCCAAACTGGCCCCCGGAGAGGCATCTAAACGGCCTTGCGTCGACGACCCAGGCACGGTGGCGGCATGGGCCGAAGGCCATGAGATCCGCCGCCCCCTTTTTGATTTATCAAAGGGGTGTCTGGCGTGCCGGATGATATGGCTCTTGGTTTTGGTTCTTTTTCCCAAAGAGCCCCCCCTGGGGCTTCGGCCCGTCCCGCCGGCCACCCGGAAAGGATCTCAAAACGCGTCTGTCGTGCCTCTCTTTCCTTCAGTTGGCCCAAGATGGCGTCCAAGACGGACAAGATGGCCCAGGATGGCCTCCAAGATGCCTCCAAGACGGCCCAAGATGGCCTCAAAGACGGCTAAGATGGCTCCAAGATGCACCCAAGACGGCCCAAGATGGCCTCAAGATGGTCTACGACGGCCCAAGAGGCCCGCAAGAGGCCTCCAAGACGGCCCAAGAGGCCTCCAAGAGGTCCTCCAGGAAGGCCCGAAGAGGCCAAAAACATGGATTTCCTAAGGTTTTGAAGGATTTTGACATTTGCTTCTTCTCGGCATTCCGACGGCTTAAGACGGCCCAAGAGGCACCCAAGATCGCCCAAGAGGCCCCCCAGAGGCCCCCATGACGGCCCAAGTGGCCTCCAAGACGGCCCCAAGAGGGCCCCAAGACGGCCCAAGAGGCCTCCAACACGCCCACGATGGCCTCCAAGACGCCCAAGATGGCCTCCAAGACGGCCCCGAAGCGCCCCAAGAGGGCCCCAAGTCGGCCCAGAAAGGCCCCCAAGACGGCTCCCGACGGCGTCAGACGTGCCAGGAACCCACCAAGATGGCCGAAGTTCGCTCGAAGCTGGCCCAAGACGGCCCAAGAGGCCCCCTAGAGGGCCTCCAGGAAGGCCAGAAGAGGCCCAAACATAGATTTTCCTGTGGTTTTTGACGGATTTTGACATTTGCTTCTTTTCGGCCTTCCGATGGCCCGAGACGGCCCAAGAGCCTCCAAAGATCGGCGAAAGATCGCCCAAGAGGCCTCCAAGATGGCCCCAGAACGGCCCAAGAGGGCCCCAAGACGGCCCTAAGAGGCCCCAAGACGGCCCAAGAGGCCGTTAAGACGCCCAAGGTGGCCTCCAAGACGGCCCCAAGTCGGCCCATAGTGGCCCCCCAAACGGCTTCCGACGGCGTCAGACGGACCAGGAGCCCACCAAGACAGCCGAACATGGCCCTAAGATGGCCCAAGATGGCCCAATAGGCCTCCAAGAGGGCCTCCAGGAAGGGCCGAAAAGGCAAACAATCATTGATTTCCCATGGGTTTTTGAAGGATTGTGGCATTTGCTTTTTTTCTGGTTCCGACGGCCCGAGACGGCCCAAGTGCCCCCGAAGATCGTCCAAGAGGCCCAAGACACGGCCCCAAGAGGCCCCCAAGACGGCCCAAGAGGCCTCCAAGACGCTCAAGATGGTCTCCAAGACGGCCCAAGAGCCCTCCAAGACGTCCTCCAAGAAGGCCCGAAAGGGTCAAAATGGCCTCCAGACGGCCAAGATGACCTTCAAGATGCCCACGTGTTCCCCGACGGCTTTCCAAACCGATTCGGGGATCACGTGGTCCGATAGCTTGGCAGGTCTGGCCTCAACAATCGGCCACATAGGCGCTTCCAAAAAGGCAGGGGGCGGCGGTGATTCGCCGTAGGCGTCTTCAATACTACGCTGCGTATCATGGTGCCTCACAACTCTGATTCGCATCGTCGGCAAAGCTTGGCTGACACCTCAAGGCGACGAGCTCTCGTAACTCGTTCACGGAGTAATCGGCCAGCGCTCGGGTCATATCCGTGTCCTGCGGGATCACCTCGCTTGCAAGCGCAGCCTTGCGCGCAAGTTCTTTGTGCAACCGTTCTTCGAGAGTGCCCAAGGAGATCAACCTGTGCACCGTTACAATGTGCTGCTGGCCAATGCGGTGAGCCCGGTCGGTTGCCTGAGCTTCCTTGGCCGGGTTCCAGCAGCGGTCGAAGTGCACGACGTGAGTCGCGGCAGTGAGGTTGAGGCCAACTCCGCCGACACCTAAAGTGCATATTAACACCCAACTGCCTACGTCCTCCTGGAACTGGCGCACGAGTTCGTCGCGCTGCCCCCGCGGCACGTTACCTGTGAGCAATAGCACTCCAGCGGTGGGATGCGCCGCCAACAGCATCCCCTGTAGCAGCTGGGCCGTGTCTCGGTACTGCGTAAACACGAGGGCCTTCTCCCGCGGTGGGTCCCAAACTTCTGACAATATCTCCAACAGGCGGGCCACCTTGCCGCTGTTCGCTGCGGCCGCGCGGAATCCGTGCTCCTTGTGATCCAGGCCCTCAGGCCAACTCTTCGGGCCCACGGCGGCGGGATGATTGCAAGCCTGCTGCAGCCCGTGGAGCATCTGCAGCACGCGCGCGGCACGACCGAAGCGCTCCCGCGCGCTGCCCGCGGAGGCCTGTGCGTCGAGGGCTGGCTCCTCCGAGGCATCGCTGGTGTCCACTCCCAGGTCGTCGAGTCCGCTTGCGCTGCAGTCCGCGGCCGAGGCCGCGGCCAACACCTCGGCTCCTCGGCCGTCCAGCTCGGCCACGCGGGAGAGGGACGCCTTCTGCACCGCCTCGTAGAGTCTCCTCTGAGGCGCGGTGAGCTCGACATGGTGCAGCATCTCTATCTTCTGCGGCAGATCTGGCACTATCGCGGGATCGTATTTGCAGCGCCGCAGCAGGAAAGGGCCGATGGCGGCCAGGAGTCGGTCACGGATCTCCTCTCGCTTCTGCTCGAGTTCCACCCCGCGCTCCAGCGGGCGGGCGAACTCCACCTCAAAGGCCTCGCTGGAGCCCAAGTAGCCCGGAAGAGCGAAGTCCAGGATGGAATGAAGCTCCGCTAACCTGTTCTCCACGGGCGTGCCCGAGATGGCCACGCGCACGGAGCCCGCGGCTTCTGCGGCCACTCTCTTCACCGCGCACGCCGTCTGGCTGCCCCGGTTCTTGATCGCCTGGCTCTCGTCCAGGATGACTGCCGAGAAGCGGGCCTCCCTGCACAACGCGTCCACGTCGCGCTGAACGACGGTGTACGTCGTGAGCACCACATCGGCGTCGGGCGCCGTGGCGATGGAGGGAGCGGCGATAGCCCGAGGCGCCGCGGGGTCCTCGATTGGCGGGGCTTGGACCATGCGCTCGCAATTCTGCGGCAACTCCCTGGGCAGCTGGTGGTAAACGCAGCACCGTAGTGAGGGTGCCCAGCGGGCCAGCTCTGCCTCCCAGTTTCCCAGCACACTCAGCGGGGCCACCACCAAGGCGGGCCTCTCCAGCACACCTGCCTTCTGCAGGTGCAGCAAGAGCGCCAGTACCTGCACGGTCTTGCCCAGGCCCATGTCGTCCGCCAGCACGCAACCGAGGCCGCTGGAGGCGATGCTGGCCAACCAGCGGAATCCCCGCAGCTGGTAAGGCCGCAGCGTGGTCCGCAGGCCCTCGGGCGCATCCAGCTCCTGCGGCCGCAGCAGCCGCTCTAATGCCTTGCCCACCTCTGCTTCCAGGCGCACGCCCTTCCGAAGGCCCAGCCAGGCCCTCAACAGCTCCAGCCCGAGCGGTGGTGCTGGGAGCTCCTCGCTGGCGCGCCGCGCCAGCTCGGTCGCCAGCGCTGGGGTTAGCCGCACGTAGTGCGCGCGAGGGACCCTCGAAGCCGCCGACGAAGCCGACACGGGTGCGGCAGGCGCGGCCGGGGGTGCCAGTAACTTGGCTGCTGGTAGCGTCGCGCCCACAGCGTCGGCAGCCTCCAACTGCGGACGGGCCTCTCAGGATGGCCGCGAACCGACTCGAGATCCGAGTGAATATTCTCGCACAGAGCCAGCCGAGCCGAAGCAATCCGCCACCCGAACCGGCCCGTTTTCAGGGTGAGGGAGGGGGATCTCCCTCCCTCCCTTCCTTCCCTGATCAGCTTCCCGAACCAAACAACACGCCCGACGATCCAACTTTTATGCAGTACGGGCCTGACGCCGCGTCACTCGCAAGACTTTGCTGAACCAGATGCTATCTAGGTCAAACAAGCCGACAAGTACGACAGATCCAGGTCTGCAAAGTCGGTTTGACGTCGCGTCCCCCGCAGGACTCTGCTAAACGAGGCTGCCAACAGAGCAAGTGCATGCAAGAGGATATGGGAACACCGCTCTCGAATCTCTAGCCGAGAAGGTGCCACTCTTCTCCCTCCCCCTTCGTCTCCTCCATTTTGTTTTGTGCGTGTGTGTGCGTGTGTGTGTGTGTGTGTGTGTGTCGCACTGGTCACGACGAACTTCGCCCAGACGGCCTCCACTGGGCTACAGGTAAGAGTGACTCTAGGCCAGAATGACCTTTGGTGCGCGAACTAACGGCATGCGCGGAGTGGCCAATCCCGGGCGCGCAAGCGGGCCCCCACCGAAGGTCACTCCGGCGAAAGGCCACCCTTACGTCTAGCCGACTCCACCCCATGCACCCTGGCAAGGACAAACGGTTTTCTTGCCCACCCTGGTCAGTCCCGGTCCGAGCCGCCCCACCTCGCACGACTCCTGCCTGGAGCCTGCGGCCGACACGCTGCACTTGAAGGACCCCGTGAGCCCTGGGCAGGGGTGGGAGGGCGCAAGGGGGAAAGTGGGGCGAAGTGATGGGGAGTAGTGCCCAACTCTACCGACGACAATCGGACATCGAGGATTTCTTGTAGGTTTGATGTGCGTTTTTGGACCTAGGTGGGGCCTGCGGAGGCCTCCAGCGACCTCTGGGGGTCAGAAGCCAGAGGAAAACCAAGAACCCAGAGTAACAACCAATCGGACGGAATCGGCCAGACCGAACCACCTTCATGACACCGCGACTCAACCCGAACCAGCCAAATCGAAGCGTGCGCTCACCGCACAGCGCCGAGTCGAGCTCTGGCCATGATGCCTCCTCTTCCAGGCGCAGCACTGCAAGCTCCTCGCGAGGGCCCTGCGCCAGCGCGCTGGCCAGCTCCGCCAGCGTGAGCACCGAATCGCCGTCCGAGGGGCGGGCCCTGCCAGCCGTTGGGATGTCCGGGCCTCCCTCCTCGAGGCCCACACACCATTCGGCGTGCAACAGGCTGGCGACGGAGGCGAGCGCCTGGGCCTCGGCGAGCTGCTCCCTGGGCCCGCGGACGGCGACGAATGGCGCCGAGAGGCGCTCCGCTCGCTGCGCCGCGGCCCGCAGCTCCGCCTCCAGCCCCTGCATGGTGCCGGCCGCGGCCTCCAAGGCCGCTTGCGCCTTCAGCACGGCCTCGGCGCACGCTTTGCGCCGGGTGTCCCGATCCGTCAGCCCCTCCGCGAGGTCCACCGCCGCGCGCTCGCGCTCGACGCGGCTGCGCAGCTGCTCGCAGCGGGTGTGGGCGCGGAAGATCTCCTGCTTGCCCGTGGCCGCCTTGAGCGCCGCACGGGCCTCGACCAGGTCCTTCTCGTAGCGCTCCAGCGCCGTCCGCCGCGCCTCCACGCTCATCGCCGCCTGGCCGCCCACGGCGAGCCCACCAGCGCTGCCCTTCCACGCCGCCTCCGCTTCGAAACTGTCGGCGCGTGCGACGTCCAGCGCGCGCCGGGCCTGCAGGAACGCCGGCTCCGCCTCCGCGTGCCAGCGCTCGGCGGAGAGGTTGCGGATGCGCCAGGGCCGCCCGGGGGGCAGAGGCCTCGGCCTGGCGGGGCTGGCCTGCGTGGGGTCCGCCAGGGCCGAGACGGAGCCCCAGGGGCTGACCTCCTTGAGGCCAACGGCCGCCGCGGCGGCCGGGCTGGGACAGCCGCCTTCCCTCCCGCCAGCTGCCGCCGCCGCGCCAGACCTCCTGAGACGCTTCGTAGGTGGCCCCGTTGCGGTGGCCCCCAGCATCCGCGGCGGCTCCTTCTGCTGTGGCGCCAGGCACGGTGAGGTCGAGCTGGTGGGGGGTCGCATGAGTCCTGCCATCTCCGCCCGCACCGCAGCGGCGGCCGCCCTGTCTCCCGTGGCCTCCGCGTCCGCCAGCGCTTCCTGTGGCGGCGCGCACAGAGAACGTGGGGGGAGGGGGAAGGCTTCTTGCAAGCACCCTGCTTCTTAGAAGGCGCTGGCCCGACATCTATAGTCAAGGCCCGACCCTTCTAAGGAGCAGGGATGCTTCTAAGAAGCCTTCCCCCCTCCCTATACCCCTCTCTGCGCGTGGCCGACTCCTCTCTGGCCGCTGCAGGGGCTGCAGACCCTGCCGCAGCCGCTGCCTTTGGGCGCCGCTTGTGGGGGGGCGGTAAATGGGCGGTTGAAGAAGGGTACCCTTTTCGGGCCCTGAAGGCCCCCTTCTGGGCCCTAAGGGAAAAGGCTTCCTAGATGGGGTCGGAGTAGATGGGGTCGGAGGATCGCCCCGTATCGACGATACATCGGCGATGCATCGGCGATGCATCGGTGATGCACCGGCGATGCATCGGCGACGTCGGCGATGCATCGGCGACGTCGACGTGAAGCAAAGCGGGCCCCACATCAAGACGTATCGGCCATGCATTGGCGATGCGGCGCGATCCTTTGACCTCATCCTTTGAGGCCTAGAACCCTTTAGGGGCCCTCCAGGGACCCTTCTCTGCAGCCCTCGCTGCTCCCCTATTTGTCGCCCCTCCATGACGCGACGCCCAGTGCCTGCGAAACAGGGCGCACCTGGCTGCCAGCGGCCGCGGATGCATTCGCCTTTGGCTGCTGGCGGCTGGTGCACCAGGGCCCGTGCGCCGGGCACTTGTTGCAGCAGAGCCCGTGCTTCACCCCCGCTCGCGAGCTCTGGGGGAACTCGCCGCACCTGCGCCGGCGCACCCCACGAGGGGGCACGGGAGGGTAAAGTAAGGTAAGGTAAGGTAAGGTAAGGTAAGGTGAGGAGGAGGAGGAGGTGGAGGAGGAGGACAAGGACGAGGAGGAGGAGGAGGCGGAGGAGGAGAGGAGTCGCTGCTCAGGAGACGGCACAGCTGCCGTGAGCTTGTCGACCCAGGCGTCTCTCAGGGGTCGGAGACCCTCTGTGCGGCCACAAGCACGGTTTTTTCCGCATACGTGAACCTGCCTTCCACAGACGTGAGCGTAAGAAGAGAATCTGGGCCAGGATCCTGGTCCGTATTGTAGCAGCACGAAGCCGTTTGCTCTCACATCACAGCGCCGAGAAAGTGCCGGTCTCAAGCATGTCTGAAGGTGCAGGCAAGTGGACATGTGGCAGCTGTGGCAAACACGTGCAGCCCTGGCACTGGCGGTGTCGCTGTGGATCGGCCTGGGCCAGTCGTCGCACTCGTTCCAGCAGCCGCAGGCGCCCTTTAGATCGCGCCGTGCAGGAGAACGATCGCAAGGCTGCCTTTCTCGCTCAGAAAGTTGCTCCAGCACTTGCTTTCGAGGCCACTACTCATCAGGATTGGCACAAGTGGGAACCTTCAACCAACGAGGAGCAGCTGTCTCAGTACCGCAAGTCGGCCAGAGAGCGCATCAACACACTCGCGAAGCTGGCTGTTGCCGATGTTCAAGCTGCCAAGTCCGACGAAGCAGAGCGCGCAGAGATTGCCATGATCATCTATGCCCTGAGCACGCTGAAGCCACTCGGACACCAGCTTGCAGATGCTCGCACCTGCTCCATGGAATACGAGAGTCAGCTCAAAGACACGAGGCTTGAGATCCAGCAGCTAGAGGAGACAGCCGACGAAGTCGAGGATAAGATAGCGGACTATCGGGAGATTATTCAGAACCTGGAGCAAGCTATCCATGACTCGTCCGCCAAAGAGAGTGCAGAGAGGGAACACAAGATGGCTGCAGTACCCGCGGCACCAATGGCTCCTCCCGCTGCGTCGACACATATCCCACCACCCCCACCGCCGGCCTCCGCGGCGCCAAGGGGATAGGGGACCATCAAAGGCAGCTGTGGGGTCCAATGCCGGGACGCCGCAGCTCCCTGCCCAGAATGTGAGCATCACGTACTCGCCAGAGCAGCAGCACACCCTGGCCACCACCATGCAGCTCTTGCTCTCGAGGCAAGACCAGACGGAGGCGCTGATGTCCAACATGGTCCATGGCAAGGGTGCTGTCGCAGCATATCAGGCCGCCATGCATTGGAAGGGAAAATGCGTGCAAGCCCCCTCTTCCGAAACAAGCGCGTCCAGTGCGACCATGACAATGCCAAAGGGAGTCCCTCCTGCTCCTATCATGGGGTTTACTGCGCAGCCGCCTGTGGCGGCGACCTCGGACCCGTATATGCTGAAAAAGGGCTTCTCCAAGGGCACTGAAGGGCCTGCGGTGGCGTCATGGAGTCCGACCCCTGCAAGGCAGAGCCAGACCAATGCCATCGCATATCCGCTGCACAACATGTTGATGCCCACACCTGCAGGACAACAAGGCTTCGGGGCAGCAGTGTACCCGCCAGCGATGCCTGTTCAACTGGGACCTCCACGCATTACCGAGCCGATTCCGAGCACCTTGACGGAGCCCTCTCCGACGCAGATGTGGGGGCCAGGAGGCATCGCCTCGCAGGAAGCCGCAGCCACTTGGCGTGCAGCGGATGCGAAGGCGTCGGACTCAGCAGCGATCAGCCCTCCTCTGACGCCTAACACACCTGTGCTGACCCAGGAGCTTCTACCAGGACCAGTACGCAGCTTTACCGAAAGTGCAGTGGTGGAGATGGCTCCTGCTGTGGCGGCGGAGGCGGTGCCTGTTTCGCCCGACAGAGCCAAACCTGCAGAGAAGCACGCGGGCTTATCGCCACCTCACAAGTCAGCGCCTCTTCCACACGTATTGCAAGAGGGGGCAGACCTGTGAAGCGTGTTAGATTCGGCGCGACGGAAGTTGACACATTTGTCATTGGTGGCCGCATTCACTCAAGGGAGGCTGTAGGGACAGTATGACGCTTGCTTCGTTCGCTGCGCAAAGGCATGACCCAGCTACTCAAATACGCAGGTCATGCGCACTCTCGGCGAAGCCACGTCGATTGCGCCAATATCTCAACTTTGCTGGGCGAGGGACCAGGACACAGCTGTTCGAGCTGCTGATCGTCACATCATTCGGCTAGCCCATCGGGTTGCTCGGCAAGAAACCTCCACATGGCGTATCGAGGCCGTCTTATGGGATGAGCAGGCCGCGTGCTCTGACTTTCCCACCAGCCCTTTGGGCGTGAGTGGTTTAGAGAGCCCGCTCTGTTCTCAACCCCCTTCTTCCCCTTCGGGGAGGGGTTTACCCCTCCCCCTCCCCCCTCCCCCTGGGCCTGGAGAGGTCCTTCCGCGGGTGGTCGGAGGGGTCTTTTTCGACTCCTGGGAGGGCTAAAAT